GATCAAGTCAGATTATTGATGCAGATGGCTACCTGTCTGTTACTTATGCTTTGACTCCCAATTAAATGACTGCGCCGATTTAGCGACCTCGCGCTGCCACCACGATTGAATCATAGCATTTTGCATAACATAAGATGCACTCTTCGAAATTCTCGTTTTACAGTTGCGTTGCATTGTACTTGCAGACTTTCCCTTGATAACATGATGGGTGAAGTCAAATAACTGATACAGATGACCATTTGCCAGTGTTATGGATTCACACTCGTGACCGCAGGACTGCGCATTGATTTAACGATCTCGCGCGGTGATCACAATGAAATTATAATCAGAAATTCACAAGTTTGAAAACGGCATTTTACATTACTCAAGAGTGTTTCATTCATATATAACTAGGGGTTAAAGTTTGTTTATGCAGTCAGTCAGTCATCCGCTTATATAAATTCAAAGTGGCGACCGCAGCACCCAGTTTTAACAGCAAGTGCAGGTATGTGTTCAAACAGCATGCTTGTCGCAGCTTCCTGACGTACTGCTATTGTACCCCCCCACCCAGATGATGACCACCGTTCGGCATGGTCATTAGTTGACTGAAAGACGTTTCACTGCATACCTGCGGTGAACATTGCGTTTAATGAATGCGTCTGGTGATTAGAAATGTTTGCAGTTTCAATGAGACGTCATTCTTCAGGGAAGCGTCGAGTTCTTCCGGTTGTCAAGCCTATTCATCAAATAATGCGCGGCATTTGTCTGCGCCTCCCCCGGCCTACTTCGAAAATAAGGACGCGGCCAAACCGGGAACCAGCTTCATGGCCGATAAAGCTGCACCTGGTGGTTACGCATGGCTGTACAACGAACGAAATGCAGAAAGCGACGAAAATCGTGTCACGGCGCAGATGATGAATCTCGTGACGGAGGAGAATCGCTTTCTACGATTGGAATTGGAAAGCTACATAAAAAAAACGTTCAAACTTCAACAGGTACTTTATGAATGTGTGCTTTGTTGTAGTCGACTGATTGCTTTACTTTAATGCGCCCATCGTTTAAGTCATAGTTGCTTTTTCCAGGATTGCCTATTGTTCTGATTACCATTAGATAAGGTAATCAGCTCTCAGGTGGGTTAAGGCGAACTGCAGCCACAAGCGGCACTCCCATCAGACAGGATGGCTGTATATCTTCATTCTGTTAAGATCGCAGCAGAATACCATGCAGGTCAACGACTTGCTACTCGGCTGTTTGCACTGAAACAACTTGTGGCAAATTACTTGCTCAAGGGAATTTGCAGTTATGACAAAGATTTTCCCGTCTGTGCATTCGAATCCGCAGCTCCGGGGTTGCAAACCGAATTCCGTTACTCTGCCACTACACCGTATTACAGAAAGAACCCGACTTAATAGTTTCGTTTCACAAACCTTTATGTCGGGCGAGTTTTGCGTAAGCCAGATTTAACCTGCTTCACCCGTTAACTACGCCCTGTTGCTTCCTTGTTTACAGTATGTGAATGTAGTAGTACATTAATGTTTTAGAGCTTATTTCTGTTAGTTTCTTTCACAAAATGCTCTCACAAATTTGATTTTATGTAATTATTAATGCGAATCTAGTGCTAAAGTACGAATATAGTAGTAAGGCAGTATAATGCAGTATTAATGGTGAGAAAATTTAAAATTAAAAGTGTTTAATTTGGCCGTTCGAACTACCTTATAAAATTATCTAGGGATTACTGAGCAGTATTTTCTTTCTTCTCTTCATAAACCACGATTTTCCTGTACCACAGGGCTTGCTTTTGAATACAAATACACAGGGTGTCTGTAAACGATAGTAGACGAAGCGTATGGGTACACATGTGCACAGTATGGACTAGCTGCGTCGCGGAAGATCACTATTAGGTGGCGTGCAAGTAACGTATGAGGGTTAAGTAAAATTCTGCCGTAGCCCTTTCAGGATAATCTGCATAAATGTGAATTTTCGTAAGTCAAAGTCTGTCTGTATTCCGTTTTCTAATCATTACTGCAGTCCGACTTGAACTTGCTGCACTTTCATCATTGCATGATAGGGCCTGAAGCGTGTGCAATCAACTTATGCTAAGGTGAAGTTTCATTACGTTTATTTGCACCAGTCATTACGATGGATTCAAAGGTCTGTCATATACACTGCAGCGATCAGCTGACTAATTGTACGTAATCCTGGCGAGATAGACCTCCACATTCGGATAAGGCAACGATCACAGGGCAGAATTAGAGCAGAAGGATGTTTCGGTTAAAATCGGCATAATGATTATGGACTACATTCCACACGTGTTCTTAAAGACAGCGTGATGATGTGTCGTGATTTCTGCAAGCTGGACAGCAGGTATCGCTTAAGTACAGCTCGATTGACAGTTTCATTCCACTATTGCCTTCCTGTCCTCCTTGGTGGCGATGTCATGAATCTGATGGTCTACATTATTTTGAGCTGAATCACGTGTTCGTCAGTCGTAGGGACTTCCATGCAGCAAGTAACAAACGATGGCCTTGGATCAATATTGTACATGTCAGGACAGCGCACAACACTGTGACCAAATACGCCGAACCGGGGGGGGAGGGTTTTCGACTGCACCTACTGCTCATCTTCTGCCTCACTTACTCCCGCGTTAATGGCGACGATATTTGAATCCTGTCATACGGGTCAAAAGTTGTCAAAGATGGAAATGGTCGATGACTCCCATCTCCCCTCCCGCAGTGTAATTTGCTTCTGATAATCGGTTAAGTATGCTTTTGGGTCCATCGTTGCCGCAGCATCTCTAAGCGTTTACTGATAAACCAGGAACCAGCACAGTTCAAACACTTTTTGAACTACCTGTCTACCATAGCGCAACAGCAAATGCGAAACCCTTTCGACGGAGGTCGTATTATACGTTCGATGGAGAAAGCGCGCAGCGAAGAAATGCGACATTCAGGCAACGTGTTGAAACGGAACTAGTATCCGAAGAACCTCATGCGGAGGCCAGCGACGATGAAACTCTGCAAAAAAGGCCAGATATGAACGCAAGAGATAAATAGAAAAGGTTGATATTTTTGCTCTGCTTTGTGGTCTGTTTCAGTCGAAAGGCAGAAAGCTCAGCGTCATAAATATTCGTAGCATTTAGGTCATGTGCAAGAGTGAAACCACTTTTATTCTAAGTCAACGAAATATCTTAATCGTGTCAAGACCAGACTAGCGTAATATACTGGATCTGTTTCCTTGATTGTGATGTTATTTGCGTAAATCACACAACGAAGCTGCTCCAGGTACGGATAACTGAGCATTTAGAACCAAGCTGAACAAGCAAAACGATATACATGGAACAAATGAAAAAAACTTGGTATATCATCAGCATTTTATATCATCACCACCACAGACCGCATGATCAGTTTCGCTTATACAAATGCCATTGCAATTTCAAAGGGTACAGCAAACGGTTGTTGACGGAACCTGTGGATTTCGAACTATCAAAAACTATGCATGTTTAGCGAAACGCTCTAAACGGCCGCAGTAACAACGGTAAGCGACAGCAGGTATTCACGCCATAAATCAGGGGCATATTGCATCGCGCAACGGAAAGGTCATCCATGATTTCGCTGCTTCGGGTCCCACACGACGGAATTCAGACATATTCAGAAATCTTCGCCGTTCATTAATGAGACCTCTGCATTAAAAGAAGGTCTGCAGCTGTAGTCGAAAGTCTTCCATGTAATTGTGTAGTCTTAGTCTGCAGGTGTAGTCGAAAGTCTTCCATGTAATTTGGTAGCGTGCTGTTTGTTCTCCCGATAAAAGAAATATGGATAGGGTTTTGTGTACCATAACACCAAGCTACTTCAGTGGTAGACTTGAAGTTAACGACTGTAGTTTGCATCCAGGTCGTTGCTAGGTGAAGTGATAGATAGTGTTTTAGCAATTTTCATTTTGAACTGTTTGCGTTTTAGTACTTGAATGAATTAAAGACTTGTCTTAAATTATTTTGTTCCTAAGCAAGCGTGTTTACAGTTGGAGCTGCAGTACCAAAAAATCCAAAGGGAATACGAGGAACTGGTCAGAAGACAGGAAAAGCGCGAGCAACTTGAGCAACAGATGCACATGAAAATGCAGCAAGAAATTGCACGACTGAAGGAATTCAATTACCAGCTGAACGGTACGAGTAGCAACGTGTCGTCTCTCTAAATCGGTGGCTGTATTTTTATCCAGTTACATTTAGAACAACTCGAAAATGCTCTGACACAGATGTCGCAATATCAGATGGACGAAGTTGAAGATCACGAGCTTAAGCACGAGATCACTCGTCGTGACATGATGATTGCGCAGCTGATTACTCAAAGTGAGGCAGATCCGTTGTCGTTCTGTTAAGCGCGCAAAGCCAATGCATTCTGTCGTAGACAAAGAACTGTTGGCGGCGAAGGAGCGTTACACAATCGAGCTGGATGCACAACGAGCAACGCTGGAGGAACAGCGAGCTCACATTCAGATTCTGGACAAGGCGCTTATAAACGCCCAGGAAAAGGTGTTGAAGGCAGAAGAGCAAGTAAGTCGAATTGTGAATAGCTTTATTGCGGCACCGGCTACGTTCCAACCACTCGACCGATGTTTTACGATACGCCAGCATCACTGTCTTCCTTTAAGTCAAGGAAGAAGAATATATACGTGCAGAAAGCAGAAGAGTTGCAGCGCGCGCTTCACACGTTTCAGGACGGAATGAAGAAGCGCGAGGACAACCACAAGCGAATACGAGCGCAGTTGGAAAAAGAGCTGGCGCATCTGCAGATTCAGAAAAAGGTATTGCCGGTTTGTTTTCTTAAATGACTACGTGTAACTACCGCTTTGCTATGACAAGGAAAACCAAAACAAGGCGTTGTCGTCCACCAGCTTGCAGGATCTGAAGAGCACGACGGTAAATCTGAGGCGTGATTTGCAGGACAAAGAGGAGCAGATGTTAAATCTGCAGAGCGAAGTGGTTCGATGGCAGGAAGCGTACTACGATGAACTGAAGAAACAAGAAGCGGCGCTCAGCGAAGCAGCTAGTTCAAAGTGTTAATTTGTAAACAATGCCGATCTTTAGCCGGTTGTGTTCATAGGGACGCCAGAATCCGCATTCTGGAGGAGAACAGCAGCAAAGCGGAGAAGCTGATCGAAGTTGCCCAAAGCGAGAGCAAGCGATACTTGGAAGACTTACGAAACGCCAAAAACAAGGTGGGCGATCTGGAAACAAGGTAAACTGGCGGCATCCGTATATGTCCGATGTGTGTATCGAACCCGCGTTTTAGAGTGCAGTCACTGGAGGCTCAAATGGCTGAAAAAGATGCGATGATCAACGTCCTTCGGCGAAGACAGCGGCTGTCTTCTGGCAGCGACACCGGTAACCGCTCAGCGGATGCTACGCTGGACTATTCGAGTAGCTCTGATGTTATGTCTACATACAACGACGCTTACCAGTAAGTGCGTTATGAAGCTTTGATGATGGCCTTTGCGTTCTGTCATATAAGTTAAGTTATGCGAAAGATTTTATGTGCCAAGCGTAAAGCTTATAAAGACAATCCGGAGGTAAGGAAAGTTTGTAATCGTCTTACATTTTCATGACGGCGCCCTTCTTTTCCTCAGCTTAATGGTACGGCGCTGATCTTTATTTTAGTGGGATCAGCAGAGTGCCTTATTTTAAAGGCGGTGATAAGCATGGTGTGTAGTCTCCTGTTCCTTCTCACAGTTAAGTGTACTCATTTATCAATCTTGGAAGGAAGAAACACGAGTTATCTTGACCAAGACTCGAACCCTGGACATCTCCGTTCTGAATCCAACGCTCTGCCACTGAGTTGCCCCGGTCTGAAGCAACGTTTAGTCAGTTCATTATTCGGGAAAATTTTTGGTTAAGACAAAGGTTGCCCGATGGCAGAATCGGACCCAACACCTCGATAGTTCGAAGCCGGTCTCTTAGGTACTTTACTACCGTTCCACAGTTTCGCGCACTTCGAGTGTTACGTGAAACCGATAAAATATTAATGTTAGTATATAAATGTGATTCGTTCAGCAGGCTGTCTACTCGGCATGGGCATAAGTATATGTGGATTGAAAAGCGTATCATATCAGCGGATCCATAGATCACCCATCTACTCATATGCACACCCTTCTTCCTGGTCAAAAAAGGATGAAAGACAGGCGCCAAAAGAACTAATGACGGCTGTCACGCGTCATAAGTAAATTTGTTTTCAGTTTTTGAAACAACTTAAGCATAAGTAACATGTAAAAACAAACATACAGATTTTTTATTCATGGCACAGTTATTTTATTCATGGTTTTTCATAGTTTTCATCAGTGTGATACGTTTTGAAACATCCGTTTTCCGGGCACATTCCAGGTTTTGTAAGACACTGATTGCAATAAAAACGACCCTCTCGACGAATTCCACGAACATAGCATACACGACACCGTTTCGTTGGTTTGGTTCGGTTGGACGAATATGCATGATAAAGTGTTGTTCAGAAAGTCGAGCTCTCTTGACATCGACTTCAGTTTGTACTTCAGTTGGCCCAGAAGTAATGAATGCTATCACAACATCATGTTGAATTTGCAGATTATGTTTTTTCAC